AAATCCACGTTGCCTGTCAAAATATAAACATTCAGTTTATGTGTTCCGGAAACCAAAACATTGAGTACAAAATATCGAAGAAAAAATACAAAATACTTACCGAATAATAACGAGTCATAACGGAAATACCAAATTATTGACATCATGATAAAAGTTCCCCCCCTTTTACTCTGCATCGAGATTAAAAAGCAGACGATTCACTCAACTCTTCCTTCAAGTTCACAATTCACGTTGTTGTATTTTCTGAGCTTTACTTCATGAGATTATTTGGTGCTGCCTTCTTTTTTTTATCCGGATACTTTGTGGATAAATTAAGAATATTTTATTTTAAATTTCAGGCCTTTTTAATACAATTACAGATAAGAAACGCACTCATGATTTTACTTCTTGCAACGTTGAAAAACGTAAACACATTGCACTGAAGGTAATGCAAAAAGTGTAAATTCTGCAAAAGATGGAAGCAGGTGATACTCCTCGGTTTATAGCAGAATCGTACAGAATTGCGACACGATTGTGTATGATAAACAAAAAAATAAAGAAAAGCTGTTGAAATTTTACAGCAACAGTGATTCTAACACCAGAATCCGAAACCGGAAATCTTTGCATGAGGCGAAATCAGCAAACCTCGATGCTGTATACATATAATAATAATTTAATGCATATAATAAGTTATTGCAATAATGTATATAATTTAATTAAATGTATCTAATACACCTTATTTATTCTGCACTTTTAGTCTGAATATTATGATTTATCTTTTCTGCCCTGAAATCCGCAAAATCTCTGCAGATTTCTGGACTTCTACTGTAATACAAAATAAAGAGATTTACAGAGCACAGGTGGCAGAAAATATTTTGTTTAAAAAAAATTAATCATATAGCACAAAGACAGTGCTGTGAAAATAAAAGAGGCTTGAAATTTTTTTGTTTCTCTGACAGCTTCCACATAACCTATAGCAGTGAGCCACTTTACAAAATCATGGTAGTAATAAATTGATTTACCTGGTGTTTCAAAATTTTTGCAACTTAACTTCTTTTTCTTTTGAGGAGGTACTGTTCTGGGCAGTGTATTGGGAAACAAAGACATGAAATATTGATTTTTGACATGAAATACTGACTTTTGAAGCTATTCATCAAAAAACACGCAGTTCCTCTACATTACTAGCAACATGCTGATTAATAAACTTGAATACCATGAAGTATATCTCCATTTGTCCCTTTCAAAACCTTCCTCCTGATAAACACAAATAAACAGAACATCCAGTTTTTTACAGATACACTGCAGTTTTAACTGAAAGGTAAACAAGCTGGAGGTTCTGCAGTAAAGCATAGTGCCGAAAATCCGTTATGCACAGTTTTGTTTTGTTACTTCCTATGCATTAGAAGAATGAAAATCCTCATTGCTTCTCAGATATAAACAGTGAAATTCACAGTAGCAAGACTGCAACTTTTGAATTAAAAACTTTCATTTTCAAGTTCACCTTGATAAATGGGTGGCATAACTTATGATCATATTAATCTTTTTTAGAAACCAATTATGACAGTGGTGAATTTTCAAATTTAAACCTAATAAATTGCTTTTCTATGCAAAAGAAATAATGAAAATGAACAAGTATTTCATGAAGGTTATATTGTAGAAAAGATGACAAATTTGAACAATCTTCAGGACCATAAAATATTTACCACTTGTCCCTTACTTTACTACTTCCTTCTGATAAATGTAAAAAATATAACATCCAGTTTCTAACTATTAAATTGCAACTTAAAAATGTGCTAAAGTGTAAACAAACATAAAGCAATACAATTAAGTGAACGATATTACTAAGTGAAGTTATTTGTGCTTTCTTCAGCTGTTCCTTGCTGACTGCCTTTATCTACTCATGAAACTTTTTGACATTTAGTACACATTAATATATAAATGTAAATATTTTGCTTTCTTATTTTCTTCAATGATGTAAATATCATCTTAATGAATGGAACTCCACCAAAACAGGGACTAAAATAAGTCATTATACAAATTTATATAAGAAATACTGTTTAAATAGTTTTTCATGAGCAGGTCGAAAGAAACTGAGCCATTCAGAGGGTTAATACGTTAGAGATTTTAAAGCAATTTTGAACCAGAGATTCATGCCATTTCTTTGTATAATGAATAGGCTAATCTTCCATAAGCGGGGTAAGTTCATTTGTGATGTCAATCTTCACATCGCCGTTTCATTTCGCAATTGCCAACTGCAAAATGAAACAGCGATATAAAATCTAAGATCACCAAATGAAAATGATGCTAAATACAACACAAACATAAATTTAAAATAAATTACAAAAACTCAAGTCACAAATATGAAAATAAAAATTACAAAAATACAAAAAATAATGCACACCAAATGTCTCTTCACTCGAATAAAAAATTGTCAACCTAGTAAATATATTCAACTTCACTAACAATGGATGCATCGTAAACTCGCTAAAATACATAAGTTACTATCGTCATGGAATTCAACACACTGAACCACTTTCCCTGAACACTTTAAACATCTACATGTCTCGGCTGCCACATGCAAGAAAAAAAAAAAAAAAAAAAAAAAAAAAGACTTAAAAAAATATCAACTGACCTGAAAAACATTAAAAATTAAAACATTCATAAATTATAAACTGCACGTCATCTGAAATCCAACATTTCTCCTACCAAAGCAGCTTAACCTCCTGCAAATATTAAACAGTAAACCTTTTAAAAATTAACAAATTTCAAAATTAAATTAAAAAAAAGTCCTTCTGGTTACACTAAAATCACACTCATTACAATCACTGAAATGAAGCTCTATGTTTACCACAAGAAAACATACAGCCGGAAACCACAACCAAATCGAAATCATGCCAAATAAAAACTCTCGCCAAGTTTAGTGCTCACCCGGCTTATGGAAGATTAACCAATGAACGTCTATTTTATAAATTTATGTTAAAGAAAAACAATTCAAATATACAAATAAAAGACAACTTGTGCCTTTCCTGATTGCATCTCTTCTGCTGGTTAAGCAATGTCAGGCTTGAAATTTCAAATTCTTTATCTAAATTTACTGAATGTAAATAACAAAATGCTTCAAAACCTAAAGCAGATTTTTGACAGAAATACAAAACTTGAACTTCTGAATAGGTCAATTAATACAGTAAATTGTATTTACAAGTGTCAAAGTTGAGGAGGAAAAATTTTAAAAGGGAAAGAGAAATTCACAAAACATCTATCATTGAGGAATTTTTTATGCCTAACTAAACATTTTTAGGAATTTAAAATCAGATGGTTTTTAAATTCTGAATTAGAAGAATGAAATCTCACCAGTGCCAGAAATCAATGCAACCTCTCAGACAGAATAAACAGCAGTGAAACTCGCAGAAAACATTGCAAAACCCAAACCTATCGTGTTAAATAGCTGGCACAACTTATGATCATATTGACTTTTTTAACTGTATAATGGTAGTAAATATATATATAAAAAAAGGAAAACTGAACAAAAGTTTTAAGAATATTGTGGACTGGATGACAAAATGAACTTGAGATTCTTGAATGAATGACATGAAATAAATGACAATGTCAATTATTTCATGTCACTAGTGAATGAGCAATATGAAATAAGTTACAGCAATTTTAATTCAGAGCAAGAAGATTCTGATCATGATAATGCACAGATTACTAAGTACCAATTGATAAAGATTTGGATTTAGGAGAAAAAGTTTTGATAAAAAAAAGTGTGTAAATAACAGCTTAATTATGTCTGTGTAATTTAGAAAAGAAAATGCAATCTGAAAAGCTTAGATTATAGCTCAAGACCTCAAACCGTAGCTTGCAAATAAATACTTTTATATGTTAGAAAATGTAAAACATAAAATTTTAAATTTGCACTAGTTTGTTCCACCCATCATTAATATTTTTTATTAATTACAACAAAGCTGAAAATATTCATAAAATTATCAGGTAAATGTGTTATAAGTTAAATACAATTAAATCTTAAGTAATTACATACATTATTAAAAAGTAAAATAGACTGAAATTATTAAGAAGAGCACTTATCATTTTTAAATTGCTCAGATGGTTAATAACAAATCCATAGAAACAATTCAAACTAAAATATCCTACAGTTTTAAAAAAAGCCAAAAGTAGGATACTTGAAAGTATAAAAAATAATTTTTTATTCATCTCTAAATTTTTGTTGTTACTTTCTTTTTATGGTCTCTGCTCTGCTGCATGTAGAAAAGAAACCATTTTTACGTGCTTTTTGTTTTAAGTCTAAATTTATTTTTAAGACCTGAACTCCACAAAAATAAAAGCCACACAACCTACGATCTCAAGATGGATTACTATACTCTATTACAGATAAAACTCTCCTTAAAGATGATTGATTTCTTTATAGAAAGCATATTTAAGAGCAGTTTTCAAATGTCATTTTTTTAGGGGGGGGGTCTTCTGAATTCTCCATTTAGACTACTATAATATTCCAAAATCTTACAGAAAAACAGAGCGTCGATTGCAAGGCTATTTTACTATGTGTTTTAAGCTTCAAAGTTATTTTAATAAAATAGTTTTCCTTTTATAAGAATCATATCTGTCATCTCTTTCTGTACAATTAAGAACTACATCCTAATGTTATATTATTTAAGATTAGGCAAATACACTTGTGATATTTTGAATATTTCTCGGAAATGTCACGGATTACACATAATCAATACAAATTTAATGCAATATACAAAAGAGGGCAATTAAAAACTGAAATACACACACACACAAAAAAAAAAAAAGTAATTGTAATGTAACTTATCTAGCAAGAAAATACATGAATCCACATTAAGATTATGCTTCTTTCAATTAAATATACATTTCAAAACCATTCTTTGCACAATTTAAAATTAAGGCTATGTTTTTGATTTCATACAATATATGATTATTTTTCTTTATAGAAAACTGATTCATAATATTCCAAAAGTAAAAACTATAAACTGTTATTCTTTTAGGACTTTTACCACATGGATATTGAAGAATATGCAAGAGGAACAAAAAATGCGACAATTGCAACAAAGCTACGAAATCGTTCAAATGGCATGGGGAGAAATCAAATGTTATTTGATTTTGGAGTACATCCATCATTCTTTGACAATCCCAGAATGGTCCAGAAAGCAGTAGAAAATATAGAAAAAAATTTTGATTTCATGATGATCGCAGAGTATTTTGATGAATCGATTGTGCTTCTCAGACATATACTTTGTTGGGAGTTAGATGATGTCATTAGCCTTACAATAAATGCTCGCATGGATAATTACAGAAAAAATCTTTCCGAAGAAGCTACTAAAAACATCCTGGACTGGAATTGGGGAGATAAAATATTATACGATACATTTTTAAAAAAATTTCGAGAAACTGTAAAGGAATTTGGAGAAGACCGCATAAACTCTGAAGTGCAAGAACTTCGGAAAAAACGCCAAGACTGGTTTGACTACTGTGTACAAAAAGAAGTTGAGTCAAGGAATTTAACTTCATATAAAATCTGGAGCAATAAAGTAACTGCTTATTTGTTGAAACCAACTGTTCGCAACATAACTTGTGAAGACTTGGTGAAACCTGAGAAGTACTTTACATCAGAAATCAGGCAATACCAACTTATCAGAAGTTTAATAAAAGGTGCATCTGTAAAGAATTATGGTCCTATGTCATTAAGGCATTTAATAGATTTAAAAGTTTTAAAAGGTAAAGAGGAAGAGATTGCAAGAAATTTACTAATGAATCAGTATAAAAGCAGACGAAAATTCCACCATTTGCAGCATGGTTAAAAAATATGGTAAATTTTTTCCTAACAGTGTAAGAGGACAAAACTGTACTACTGTTTCATGTGATGAACAGTATTTTAGAAAATTATTTATATATTAAACAAGCAATTAAATTATTCATTACACATGGGAATTTAATCACACATTTGAAAAGTAAAAACTGTAAAAATCCAATATTTTAATAAAAACGTACAAAAATATATGCACAAATTTTACATAATTTTGTTAGATACATAACAAGTGCACTTGCATATATTTTTATTTACTACATACCTTCTTCCACACATTTTTATAATTTGATTAAACATTTTCATAACATCTGTGTTGTTGGGAAATCCTTTAATGACCATGATAATCAGCTCAATAACTGAATTTTCGTATGGCACTTGCAAAGCAAATACTATCAATCATAAGCAAGTCAATTATAATTACAGATCATAAATAAGTATTTATTCTAAATCATGAAAAATTACAATGTATGATAATTTCTTTCAGTCCGAGCTTTATAGAATTTAAAACTGACATAAATAATGGCCAACAATCCTAGAGCAAGAACTATGCCCCCAATAAAACTAGGAGCATCAAAATGACGTCCGGAAGGAGCTACAGTTGTTTTGAATGGCGATGGCACAGAAGTGTAAGTTCCAGTAGTAGGACTATTAGTAGTTACAGGAATTTCTGTTGTTGGTTTAGGTGAGGTTGTTGGTTCAGGTGAGGTTGTTGTACCTGAAAAGTTTAACATATTAAAATAAAAAAAAATAAAAAAAAGAAATCTACAAGCATGCTTGAGATATCAAAGAATACAAAAAAGGAGAAAACAAGATTTCCAATACATTAGAGGAACAAAAGGTTTAAATGAAATAAAACATAACACATGAATTTTGTCACATATACTGCAAATTATATTAATCATCCACATAATCAGGATTATATAAAAAAAGCACATGGACCAACACAAGCCTCAATTTTCCAATGCCATATTAACAATCAAAGTTAAACATCTGTAGTTGTTAGTAACTATACAAGCACGTAAAGCTACCATAAACTTCAAATGGCAGTACTAAAGCATGCACAGTTAGGACTACTATGTCATTTTCATGATAATTTATGACCTGTCTTGCCTAAGCATTTGTACACAAAAAAATACATGAAATATATATAGTGCAACAAATGCTTCATTTCATCTGTTGCTTAGCATACTTTGGTATGTCAGAAGTGAAGTTACACACACAGAGAACTCTCCAATTTTTTTTGTTTAATCCTCTTGAGGTTAACGGTGAATTGATTCCAGACAAACAAACAAAAATTTGTAAACGACTTAATTACAAATCTTTTTGAAAAGTTAGGGAAATTAACCCTATGCAACCCAGCAGGCAATTAATTCATTATATTAATCTGAAAGTGCATGCCTTTTATTTTAAGAAAAAGCAAAATTTTCATATTTTCTTCTCTTTTTTCCTTCTTCAATAAATCATTTGACATTTCATACCATGTCATTTCAGCTCTCTAGTCTAATTTCACATATGGCTGTGATTAGACCTTTGACCTAAGCTCCTATAATTTAATATTTGTACTTTACCAAGATTTTGCTTTTATCACCGTCATGAGTGCTAAGATCTGCCAAAGTCCACTGAAGGCCAACTCTGAGATTTCATTTTTTGACAGAAACTGCAATTCTATCTGCAGCCCCAAATGAAAGAAGTTCCAGCACTTCCTCATCACAGAATTCTATTATTCATTTAGCAATCTTTAATACCGATATTCACACAAGGTACCTCAATATATGCCTTACTTTGCATAGGTAAAACAAATGCAAACAAGGAACATAACAAAAGTGAGAAGAAAATAAGATCTCTCCGTAAGTAGTGGAATATTTATGGGCTTGTTTCAGACACTGCTACTTTTTCTCTTCAGCCCAGAAATCTTTGAATGGATTAGAAGAAAATGAGAAAATTTTATCATACTTTGTATATATTTTTCATTAATTTACAGTATAGTCTCCTACAAACTCATCATAGTACAAGCTGACAGGATAGAGTGTTATTGAAAATGTTAAGTTTTATGGAAAAATAGATGGGTTATTCACAACTCATAATATTTCATCCAACACATGTCAATTCTATTAATTTACTTTTCCCTTTCCTCAGTCTCTTAAGGCAACATTCTATTGAAATATCACATTGTTTTCTATTCTTCTTGTTTGAAATTTCCACTTGCTCTGAAAACAAAATACACGTTAGGTTATTTGGATATGGCAAAACACTCGAGGACATCTGCCTATGGGATAGGATGCCTTTGTGGAGGACGTTTCAAGGGAAACTGGCTTGTACTCCCATTACAAACAGGGAAAACTATGAAATTCAACCATGCAGCTAGCACATTCTACCAGATTTTAACCCAGTATCTAGCTGTTTTAACCACTTAGCCACTGAATACTTGTACTAGATACAAACTGAGAAACTTTACCCAGAGTAAATTGGAAGTTTAGCTCACAATAGAAAAGTCTCACAAGTCTGCTAACTGCTAGTAACAAAAAGGACTGAGTCATAACCAACAGAAGCTACCTGATATCATTCCGCTACTTTGTAACTGAGATGAGGAATGGAATAAATTGGAATTTATATGAAAACAACAAAATCTGTCACCAAACTCATCATACAGGTTCCAAGAAATAGTGTCACAAAAGGAAAGAGACAAAAATGTAAAATTAGAATACAATAACAAATCTTTGACTAGAACAGGCAAATGTGGACATTCATAAGGCACAGTAATTACAAAAAAATATTTAAAACATACTCATATTACTTTCCATATTGTTTATGCCATATAGAAGATGTTAGAAATTATTACAATTTAGCTATTAATAACCCCCCTCCCCGTTATTTCAAAGATAATGCTCTGTTTTGCCAGCAGAAATCATTTAGCGATTTAAAAAAGTTATTGATGAGCAATGTGAAATGTCAAGTAATTGGAACTCTATTACTAATTTAATTTCAACTGGTCATCATTTACTATTTTTGTGCACTGACTGCTTTCACAGCACTCTGGTATTTAATCTTTACAAATTAAATCCTGGTCTTCCTGAATTATTTAAAGGCTAGCATTTTTTTATTTTTATTTGACTATGTCAATGAAGATTTATGTGTTTATGTTAATAAACATTAATTCATACTTTTCTTAAAACTTCAGATCACATAGTGTGATCAGACATTTTTACCCCAAAATGTTCATTCTCTAGAATGGCTTTATATACGAGGGCTATCCAGAAAGTAGATTACGTTTTGGAATAAAAAAATAAACAAAGTATAGGAAACAAATTTTATTATATACAGATGAAAGCCACACTCAAATACTACTTTTCTACATAGTCACCATACAAATTAAGGCATTTATCGTAGCGATGTACGAGCTTGGAAATTCCTTCGTCGAAAAATTCGGCCGCCTGCGCCTTCAACCACTTCGTTACCTCTTCTTGCAGCTGTGCGTCGTCATCAAAACGCTGCATAGCCAGCCACTTCTTCATTGCTGGGAATAGGTGGAAGTCGCTCGGTGCCAGGTCGGGACTGTACGGCGGATGAGGAGGAAACAACTCCCACTTAAAAGATTCAAGAACTTTACGAGTGACATTTGCCGTGTGGGGCCGGGCGTTGTCGTGAATCAACAAGATCTTAGAGCTCAACATTCCTCTGCGCTTGTTTTGAATTGCTCTTCTGAGTTTTTGGAGAGTTTGGCAATACCTTTGAGAGTTTATTGTAGTGCCTCTTTCCAGGAAGTCCACCAAAATTACACCTTTTCTGTCCCAAAAAACAGTCGCCATCATCTTCCTTGCCGACATTGTTTGCATGCATTTCTTGGGTTTTTGGGGAGAACTTGTGTGCCCCCACTGCATTGATTGCAATTTCGTTTCACAGTTCACATGTTTCACCCATGTTTCGTCACCAGTAACGATGCGATCGAGTAAAGAGTCACCATCCTTATGGTAAGCGTCCAAAAAGTTCAACGCTGCAGCCATTCGCTGATTTTTGTGGTCCTCTGTCAAGATTTTTGGAATCCATCTTGCACAAAACTTGTGGTAACCAAGCTTTTCGCTGATGATTTCGTGCAACAAACTTCGCGAAATTTGTGGAAAACTCAAAGAAAGTTCCGTTATTGTGAAATTTCGATTTTCACGGACTTTAGCATCGACTTTTTCGAGAAGTTCGGCGGTCACTATGCTGGGTCTCCCACTTCGATCTTCGTCGTGAACATTGGTTCGGCCATTTTGAAATCTTATGACCCACTGACGCACTCCACCTTCAGTGATAATGTTGTCCCCATACACTTCACGAAGCTGCCGATAGATTTCTATCGGTTTACAGTTTTTTGCAGTCAGAAACCTTATTACTGAGCGCACCTCGCAGCTCGCGGGATTTTCAATTAACGCAGACATTTCAAACCGTCACAGTATCTGAACGGAGCACAGCACGAACCTCTCACTAGCACGGCTAGATGCAGACTGAGCTGCGCAACGCTCTGACCCCAAGATGGCCGCGCTAGCCCCGCCCCTAGCGGACACAGACGGAAACGTAATCTACTTCCTGGATGGCCCTCGTATAATAAAACTTTGTGATTTCAGAATAGGTACACTGGAATCTAAATCTCTGTACGTATATTCAATACATTTTAATACTTGTTATTATAAAATTAGCAAAATAATAATTTTGTCGTTTGAGTTACACAAATGATTAATTTTTTTTTTTTTTAATTTATAAACAGTATTTATTTGAAGATTTACTTATGCAGTATTTTCATAACAGCAATTCAAGATAATGAAGATAAAAATGCAAACATTCTATACAAATGTTTTATTAAAAAATCCTTTTGATGGCATAAAATACACTAAATCACCTGTAAGTTTATTTATTAACATGCCAATATGCATGTATACTTGCACATTTATCAACAATGAGTTGTTAATAAATACATGAAGTACATGAATACTCAAAGTACTAATTTATATGGAAAATATTCCAACTATATTAAAAATATTCTCTTTGGGTATTAAAAGATTTTTATGAATTTTCCTTATGCAAATTAAGTTTTTACAGAAGTAATTATTTTTTTTTTCTACACATCAGGGCTGTATTATCAGTGCTCCAAAAATTCTAAGTTAACAATGATAGAAAATAAAAAAAGATTTCATTTTTTTTTAAACTTATGTCATGTATAACTATATAATTTTTTTACACACATCAGCATCACAAAAAATATAAGTTTAGGGAAAAAAAGCAAAAAACCTCTTCTACAATATTTATAATACCGGGTGGCCATAATTAAACTGACAGTGTTCTGTAGTGCGATCTATTTGCGAGAATGATGCCACATTTTGTAGGAAAATTAAACAAGACGGGGGGGGGGGACGAAGGATTCCGCGAAAAAACAAATTCGTTCCACCGCTAGGGGAATATTTGGTGCTGTGTAATAGAAAATAGAGTGTTAACAAATGCAAATTAATAAGCAATAAAATTACCTTTTATTATGCACATTTTCTGATTTAGTTAAAATATGGCAACACTTTTAAAAAATAAAATCTAGATAAAGTCTCGTGAAACGTACGCTGAGAAAAGTTTTATTCGTATTTACGTATTTTTATCAATTATTGTTCTTTGAACGGAGTTGGTTTTGATGTACGTGTGAGTAACACGTGCATACGAAAATATCCCTAACATTAACTAGGAAAGCCGAAA